AGTGTAAACAGTACATTTATCAGTTATCTCTGTATCGCACTACCCGTACACGTATCTTGTAAACTGTAAACCAAATGCAGCAAACACAATGTTTACACAGGTGGTCGAATAACGCCTTAGACTGGCGGCCCTTACATAGAACCAACTGGAAGAGACTAAGAACAAAGAATGGTTGGACTACAAACAAGAAAGGGGAAAACGGCCATCAACAAATCTTGGCCGGCTCCTAGACTAGGCCATAGCCCATATTTAATGATGTACATCGCCTCTCATATTCATGCACCTCTGAATAAACCAGGTTTATGCACCCCTTGCATTTTCTTTGATTTTCAAAAGATCTTTGTCAAGATCGAAACGAAGATCTCGCCCCACACTAATTTTCGCTAGTTTCCAGAGTTTAAAATATGCTGGAAAGACATTTCTAGTTTCCATTGGGTTGTGGTCATTGTGAGGCACTAGATATGGGCATAGCGCACAATCTCCACCCTATAGGGCTGGTAAGTAGGTCACCAACCAGTTCTATGGCTCATGCAGGTTTTATTGAGCCGTAGAACTGGTTGGTGACCTACTTACCAGCCCTATACTAATACCATTCCTAATGTCATCAAAAGCATTATGGGTCTGGGCAACGTACCACCACCACCACCGTATACTAGTATCATTTCTCAGTAAATATGTGGTCAAAGACAATAAATCTGGGCGTTGCACCACCCCATAATCCCCACCCAAATACAGTACCATTTCTCATTATGGGTCTGGGTACAGTACCCCCTCCCCCCTATACTTGAACAATTCCTCAGTAAATATGTTGTCAAATGCTATAGATCTGGGCGCCCCAGTACCATTCTTCATGTAGTCAAAGACATAGGTCTGGGCACTACACCCCCCCCCCCCCCCATTATTCCCACCCCTGTACCAGTAATTTGGCTCACATGTTTCAAGAAATCAAACGAAGATCGCGGTAACCCAATGGGTTAGTTATCCCCTAATCGCTACCAGCGATGACGCAACGTACGGGAGAGATGTGGGTCAGGCGGCACAGGGAGGGTTGGCAAGGTTCAGGTAAACAGACAGGTAAAACAAACTGTGCATGCATTCAATGCACCAAGGAGAGCATCAAATAGCGCAGTGCCGGAAACCAAGCTAAACAAATACAGGGGAGATAATAGACCATGGAGCTTTGCCGTCAGAGTAACATTTTCCTTTCTATTGGTACTTACGCCAAAGGTCTTTGTTAGCTTTGACTTGTATTTTAAATCAATCTTAAAATATAAAACTTGAGTATATTGTTACTGGTCGAGGTGTTATTGATTCATCTGAAGTAACAAACACGGCCATCAACTGATGTGATTGGAAAGTGTCTAGATATTGTGTAAATGACCTACTACAACCCGTGACCAAAGACACATAAACTACTACTTCTGAGGTCTATCAGTACAATTCCAATAAGGCGACAAAGTATGACCCAGGAACTATTGTGACAACATGCCAGCGAGGTTGTATATAACCCCATATTTGACGCCCGTGGGATGAATGTCTCCTAGCGCGGCTCAGGACAAAGTTACCGTATGAACACACTTGATGGAATATTTAAAAACAACAGCTGTATGACAACCATTATTGTACACATTTGAAAACTAGCATTAATAATTTAACATGAAATGAGTGGAGAAAATGAATCCAGATGACGCCAATTGTTGAGGTACATTCTGTCGTTGAACCTATGGCAACTGAGACATTTAACAAAATGTGCTAAGAGGGAAAGCCATGTCTTAGGACTGTGGTTCCTAACCTGGGTTCCATCGAACCACAGGCGTTCGGTAAGTCAGTCTTAGGGGTTCGGCGGAGGTCAAGACACACACCCGACTCATAACGATAGGATTTTGTCAGTGCGGACGATAGACCCGTCAAGAAGGGTTCGGTGGATGCTTTTATAAAGCTGTTGGGGGTTCGGTAATTCCAAAAAGGTTAAGAACCACTGCTTTAAGACATAAGGTTTAGAGTCACACTTCAAACTAGATTGCTTATGGGGGGGAAAGGTTACGGTTAGGTCAGGATTTAGAAGCACTTTTAATTGCTGCTGATTCATTGCATTAAATTCGGCTAAGTTATTCCTGTGCTGTGAGCCAATCACCCACTCAAGTCTACTACATTTGTAAACTATTTATTTATTTCAGGAACGTGAGTAAGGGAGGTCAACGACCGAAGGCCTATCAGAAGTCCCAGTAAACCAAGAAAATAAAAAGTTCTAGTACCGATGGATTATTTTAACACGTGTTTTACCATCTTTACCTGAGCTTAAAACCTGAGTGGTAGTGACTATAGACAACACTCACACACGGGGAACTGTGGTCGGGGTCAGTGTTTCTTCCAGACTTTTTTCTCCGGGGGGGAGGGGGTACTTGAAATTTTCGGGGGGGGGGGGGGGGGGCACTGTTAAAAGTATATATTTTTTCTATATAAGTTATATAAATTTCATTTCGTTCGGGGGGGGGGGGCGGCGAAGAGATGCCTGGAAGAAACTCTGCATGTACTGTGCCTTCATAGGGTTGTGACCTTTCAACTATTCCACCAACACCTAGTAAAGTAAAGCCTTTAGATAGCGCTAGCACCACGACTGCAGCCGTTACTTAACGTCACATCAAGCCCTTAACCCCCTGGGGACCACGGGAACGTATTTGTACAATAGTACCGAGTGGCAGTGAGTCAGCTATACAAACAGTGCACATAGTAGTCACACGGTATGGTTACAATGTTATAGCTATGGGCTGAGGTAATTTATGGACTAGAGCGACATTATAAATGGCAACCAGAGTTTCTTTCAGGCATAACTTCAGGGTTGGGGATGATACCCCCAATAGAATTTATATAGAAAATATAATTACACACACTTTTAACAGTGCCCCCCCCCCCCCCCCACTTTATGGTTACAGGGCTGCCTACCCCAAAAAAATTTTCCCCGTAACAAGAGCATAGGTTTTCCGTAACTTTCCGTAACTTTCAGTATTTTTACACATTTTTTAAATACAATGTAAATAAGACCCATATTATATGATCGTTAAGCTCATCAGCGTAATGATGACAGTCGGCGACTCGTGCTACTTTTTATTTTATGGACTAATAATTAGTTTTTTTTAAAAAAAAACGCCGTTAAATTCAGAATGTAAGGCGACAATGGAAAATTTCAAATAGGAATTGTTCTTGCAATGAGTAGTATGACGTATGATATAGGCCTACACTACCGATATCTAAACCAATGTGAACTCAGTGACCCCTCGACTGTGTGTGTCAGGATTTTTTCTCCCGCGAACAAGAAAACGTAAGCGGCCGACGGGTGACGATGTTTAGAATTAGCATATTTCTTGAATATTTTTTTTTAAATCTACATTTTATCAATGTAATATCTAGAAGAAAAGAACGATTTTAAAAATATGATCCGTAATTGATCTAGGTGAGCCTAGATCTCGTTGTTTAGTAAAATCTTGTCTTCTCGCACATCTCAAACAAAATTTCTCGATATCTCGCTATTTATGCATTTAGCCGTAATACCGCCTCAGCAAATGTCTCGCCAGACTGCGCGACCAGACTTTCAATGATTTAGGCCACGCCCTTTTTTTTTTCTCTACGGACAACACCGACTCATGAGGTAACACAGACCACTCGCGGGGTCAATAGTTCACAATATAAACACGACTGCCGCCAGCCATGACATGAGCGGGAAGGGAAGGGGGGGTTGTTACGGATGAGGCTGAGAACCTTAGAACCGGATAACACACTGAAATACTGAAATATAACTAGCTAAATTAAAATATAAAACTCAGACAGGGAACACAAAATTAAGTTACCACCAGAAATAATTTTTTTTTTACACTAAAGTCGATTTTTATCTCTACTGAAATCAAAACTGTAATTTTGCAGCATAATCGTAATTCCGTAACCTGGGTGTCAAAATCGTAAAGTTACGGGCAAAACCGTACAAGTAGGCAGCCCTGTGGTTACATCAACATTGTAACTTAACTATATACTAGGAAAGTATATAAATATAATAGTTGCCCTACAAATAAATCCAAATTAATTAGGTTATTTTTTTGTTTTTAAATTCAGTAGCAGAATTTGTGCATTGTATATTCAAAACAGCTTATTAAAGTTTAATAATAGGAGACTTGTTTTTCAAATCTTGTAGTATTGAGAAAATAAAATGATTAACATGTTCTTATGTGGTAACAAACGAATAACAATGTCAGTAATTTGATGTGGGAATAGTGTTCAAATAGAAGCAGCTTATCAAATATCAATGACGTTGACAAGAAGGAATGACTAAATTTACCTGAGCTATTTTTAAAGCAGACACAGCTAGCTTCCCAATCCAATTCCTATTCATGTTAATTTTAGTCTAGGTAAATATTTACAATATATCTCAATGTTGTAGGGGACAGCACGGTTGAGTAGTAGAGCATTTGATTGCTAACCCGAAGGTCTCGAGTTTGGATCCCTGGCTTGAGCCCTATGATGTGCTCTGAAACAGGTGAACTCTACTTCACCTACCAGAAGGATTGTAAGGTTCAAAAAAGTATTTTACTTTTTCAATGGTCTTACCAAAAAGTTGTGTGAATAGCACAAGGTTATCTTCACAACTAGTGTCAGTACCCAATGAAAATGTGAAGGCTTAGAAATATTCTAGAAATTAATGCTGAACTTTGAACTTGAACCTTCTGTGTAATAAAACATGCACCAAACTGCACAACCACACCACCCCAAACATTAAACAAGAAAACCAATTTGAATATATGCCTCATAAAGTTTAGCCAAATCAATGCAAACTTAAGTATATAAAAACTAGATAAAAATAGAAGAGAGTTCACATAAAACACAAATTCTACTTGAAGACAACATGTCCCTAATTAATGACATGAAATCTATGAAGATTACAACAGCATGAAATTGACAGGAAATCCAATAACCCTAAGACAACATATTGTTTTAAATCCACAAAGACTCACCTTGTCTTTACAATCCACATGTACACGGCCAGAATCCAACGTCCGCTTGAGTTGTTCAAGATTTCCCTGGAGTGCAGCTAGATGCATTTGCTGATCAGATGGCGTTTCTTTCTGGATGTCAGAAAACACAAAATATTTAGCACCAGCATTAACAGTAAAACCAGTTTCTTTATTTGTTATTAACATACTTTTTGCCTGGGGAGTTTATATGCACCACATCATGCTATTACGCAGAATTGAATATAAATCAGTAATATGCTGTTCATTCGTTTAGAAAGAGACATACAAAAAAATGATGGGGTGACAGGATACCCACTAAGGAAATAACACTACACATGCACTTCAGTGGAATCCACAGAAGAAAAGGGGGATAAATAGTCCATGATCAATAATTGTTTTGGTGATGATGGTAACTCGTGTCAAAATTTTAAACACCAATGGCTATTTTCATTTTGTTAATTAAAAATCGTTAAATTAGATAGTGCTAATATAACACAGTTCTTTGCATTACTATTATTATAACTAGCCACCTCTACCCGATACACGTGAATAATAGGCCTATATTTTTAAATGTTATACTTATTTGAGAAATATTTTTCATAAAACAAAATGTGCATTACTACACTACATGTTGAATATATTAGAGACAAAGCAGAGAAAAAAAACTAAAAATCAAATTATATACATTATTATTAGTCAACAAAACACCATATTAAATGCCCACACTAATTAAGTGACTTAAATGATTCCATTAAATGCTGTGTACTTTCCGTAGTTTTAACTTTTGATTAACATTGTTTCACAATGATATTTTCCTATATGTTTCATGTGACATCAATCTTTTTGCCAGTGACATTTTTATGTTACTTAAATGTTCTCTATTAACACTTCTCCCCTTGCATGTTTAAAGATGTGTTTCTATAGATAAGTAGTAAAATAAAGTTCCCTTTTCAAACCTGACGGTCTATGGGCAAGTGAAGTAGAGTTCACTTGTTTCTGTGACCTCGGCATATGAAGAGATAGTGTGGTCAGCACTATGCCCAGCCGCCTTTACTTTCCCTAACGTGAGTTAGGTACCCATCAGAGTGGGGTGGACTCAGGGACGGTCTACTGACTTGAACCCGGATTCGAACTCGAGACTTATGGGTTAGCAGTCCAGCTCTCTACCGCTAGACCACTCCGTCCCATGTTTCTATATATGAATATGCCTTTATTTTTATTTTCTGTCTTTAAATAGAATTTAGTTTATAAATTTAATACATCTTTTCAACAAAAGTCCATATCTTTTATGTTCTCTATAAATTGCTGAAGATACTGATCTCATAGCCTCAGAAAACATGTGACGGACAGAGAGAGAGGTGTGCACATGAGCTTTTTTATATATTAGGATAGTAGCTCATAGTACAATATATTCAGTCAAAAAAGTAAACAACACAATAGATCAAAGGTGATGAGAAAGCAGTTAAAATAACTTTTATACAATGTTTACGTAATATATGACCTTTAATTGTGATAAGGAATATAACTATTTAAATTATTGGGGCCTAACTGATTTTTAATAATAATTTAAGCAATATAAATTCCAGGTAATTTTTTAAAAATCTTTTAATCACACCACAAGCGAGAAAAAGTTACAATTAGGCCTAGGCCTATACAATTCAAATTTAAAAAAAAAGTAAAGTCATCTTTTGTGTGAGTGTGAATAACGGCAAAAAAAGGTTCAAACATTCAAATGACTTATGAATGGAACAGAGTTTCTACTCTAAGACTTTTCTAAATCTAAGGCCACCTTGGCTAGACTCTAGATCTAGCCTCGAATATTAATTTGTACATTTTATTAGAAACTTACTACTCTAGAAATTTATAGGTGTGTAAGCCGTAACATATAAATATTATTAGGGCTCAGGCTTAGATCTACATAATTTAATTTTAGGCCTTAGGGCGGCTAAGGGTTACATGAGAATAGAGAGGGAGAAAGGGTGGCGGTCATATGATTATGGGGGCCTAAATCTAGTAGATCTAGGGCCTATAATTTTTAAATTTTAGGGTTTTTCTTTATTTCTTTTATTAGGCTTCTTACTTACTAACCTAGACCCTAGAGATCTAGATCTAGATTGAAAGTAAAAGAATACTGAATAGGCCTACTACCTACTATAACTACTATAATCTAGATTCTAGAGTATTGAATAGTAATAAATTAAATTTTACTATCTCTAGAGGGTGTGGGGAAATTGCGAGACGCGAAAAGCGAAATGGCGAGGCGGGAAAATGCGAGAAGGTAATGCGAGACATACCTGCGGAATTAAGGGTAAATAGCGAAACACTTTTTGCGAAAAAAGTTTTTTTCTTTTTTTTCCATCTTAATTTATTTAAATTATTTTTTTTTTGTTTTAAAATAAACAAGCATTAAGGCCATACCCTTTAACACGAGTGTTGTATGTTGTTATTTTTTATCTAGATACTAAGAAGATAGATAGATCTATATCTAGATCTATCTATTTAAAAATCCTAACATCGTTGCTGTGCTACTGTCATCGCCCGCTCTTGTTAGCAAGAGGAAAATCCCGTCTCAGTCAGCATTAATTTAAAAATCTAGCCCGCTCATGTTTATACAAACGTGAGCTGTGTCATTGTGAATTGGTATAATCTTGTCAGCAGGAGAGATATTTTGCAACATCTATTTATGGATTTTTGTACTTGCAAAAAGTCATTTATGGAAGACCCCAAAATAAAACCACCACCAAAACCAAAAAATTCAGATAAGTTCAACTTGGTTTTAAAAATATTTGAAGTAGGCCCATAGCTTACGATATAGCACGAGCAACTGATAATATCGGTGACGTCACTTTATTTTTTCCCCAAACAGTAGGTAAGAGAAAAAAAACTGGGGGCATTTAGAGTTCATAAAAGCTTAGGAATAAGCAACACATAAGGGAGGGTTAATCTAGTCCTCGCCTTCACATAGGGCAGTAACTGCATACTTAATTTGATGTTATTTTTTCTGACTTATTTATGGAAATAATAAATAATAAATTTTTATATATATTTACAATTAATTAATAAATAATAATATAACATTTATGGGAAAATTTGGAAAAGTCACAGCCGTGATATAAAATCTAATATAAATTAGTGTATCCAAATGATGTAGGCATTTCCTTGTGCTTAGATTTATATGGTAAAAAAAGCTAGAAAAAAATCGTAGGCGGCGGCTATAATACAAAATTTCTATGCAACAATAGAAAATATGTTTGCGGCGGCAGCGGATCCGGGCACGATGATCTTCAAAGATGGTAAATAAGGCGGCCTCGGCGTTCCACACAAAAGACAGAAGTTGATCTATCGTCGGCGGTATTTCCGTCGGTTTTGAACAAGGTGGTATTCTAAGTCGACACAAAAGATGGGGGGAGTTGACAAATCATCAGTATGTCTAGCGACGGAAAAATCGGAAGTTTTAACAATGTAAACGAAACGTCTTTGAAGTCTGGACCAAATACCACTGAATATCGGGTGCGGTAAATTTTTCGCAGAAATCTTCGCATTTCAACACTACCCAGCGTAAGTATCGGGTTGTGGTAAAATGCGAGACAAAAAAGTCACGTGACCGACCGTTTTCGCGCCCTTCTCGCACTTTCCCGCCTCGCCATTTCGCTTTTCGCAATTTCCCCACACCCATCTCTAGATGTCTAAGTGTACTACTTATCAGACTTATGTTAATAGATCTAGATCTAAAATCTACATTCTAGTCAGTCTAGTCTAGAGTCTAGAATTCTAGATCTAACTCTACTCTTCTAGCTAGACTAGCTAGACTACTCAGTCATACTGAAACTAAAGTTACTAAACTTAAATTTAATGATAAAATAAAAATAATTAAGAGCTCACCTTCAATGACATATTTATTATTACTAAAACTAAAAGCTAACTGGAAGACAGATAGATTTGCAACTACACAGACGCCTAGTGGCAATGCTATTCTCAAAACTCAATCCAGTTTCATTATAATTCTAAGATGTTTAGAAGAACCACACATCACACAGTGTGTTCATCAAACAGCTCCATTTTTTTTGTTTTTTGCTGTGGAGTTACTGTTACTGTAGTCCTAATTTCAGGTAATCGATTCTAAACAAAATTGCAATATTCGAGTCCGTTTTTTCGGTTTTTAAACTACGACCATGATTACTGATTTCAAGTCGTCGGAGGCGTAAGCATGCGGGGAGCAGTGGTAGCCGTTCTACCCCCTCTAACATTTGTATCATAACTAAATATAAAAAAAAAACAAGTTTAAAAGCTCTTAAAGGATATAAAGATTTCGCCATTAAGAATAGGGTACATTTTATGTTGGGTGGCAGATATATGATTATGTTATATAATTCTTGTTACATCACTTATCCAGTATCATCTGGTAGTAACTAGAAAACAACAGCAGACGTCTCCAAGTTTACTTAACACTTTATTTAACACGTATAGAAGTCTCAGACAAGATTACTGACCTTAAGGTCTAGTTCATACTAATTGCCCGAAGTAAACACATAGCGCACACAACACAGAGGGTACGTCAGTGGCGGAACTAGAAAAAAAGGGCCACCCCGCAAAATTTTTTTGGGCCCTATATATATATATATATATATATATATATATATATATATATATATATATATATATATATATATATATATATATATATATATATATGTATAATATATATATATATATATATATATATATATATATATATATATATATATATATATATATATATATATATATAGATAGATAGATAGATAGATAGATAGATAGATAGTTATAGATATATAGAATACTCAATCAGGCTTGCTCGAAATTTGAAAATATTACAATTCTTAGTTGTTTTTTTTAAAATTAAAACATATTTCAACAACACATTATTTATATGAGTGCTATTAGTCTGGTTTGAAATTTTCTGTTTCAATTGTCTGTGTTTTTATTGAGTTCACAGCGGTCAAAAGAATATGAAGCATGAAAACTTTGTATGTGTAATGGTTTCTCGCCTTATGTTTATTTTTAAGAAATTTTGTAATTATATTATTAGTTTTTAATAAATTTTCTTTTATACTAGGTCATTCTTCATTATAAATTCATTTTAAAAATAAATAATAAGAGAAAAAAATTGCTTTTTAATTTGTTTAGTGCAAAAAAAAAGTTTCTTAATTAAGAGCACACATATTTGACTATTTAAAAAAGGGAAATAAGTCATGGAAGTGGTTTGAACGTTTGCCTATCTTTCACACTGCAACTCATGTAGCATATATGTTTTTCCTTTATGAAACAGCGTGTGTTATCTACTGCATCACTACTGTAGTAGATCTTTTTTTTTTTTGTTTTTTTTTTGCAAAAAAAATATTTTTTTAACTATAATAAAGTTGATTTTGGTCGGCTCTGGGCCCCTAAATGGCCTGGGCCCCCCGCATTGCGGGGTCTGGCGGCACTGTAGTTCCGCCCCTGGGGTACGTACTCAAGAAAACATCATTAAGTTGGCCCATAAATTAGACTGGACAGACCACGAATTAAGATGACCTGTTAGCCTAGACTCAGAGCGCCAAGCTCCAAGTTCACACCAGATGGATCAAGTACCGACGTCTATGTGGATGACGCTCGACTTAGGAGTGAGTACACGGTGAATAAATAGAAGTTGCTATTATTGGATACTACATTGAGAGTTTCAAACTATACATGAATAGATGATCACTAGATGTACAGTGTCGTGTGTAATGCACTTTGTGAGTATATGGCTTCAGTGGCGTCGCTAGGTCGGGTGTCACCCGGTGCGGCCCTTCGTGGTGTCACCCCCCGCCCAAACAAATAAAGAAAGTATATATATATATATATATATATATATATATATATATATATATATATATATATATATATATATATATATATATATATATATATATATATATATATGTAGTGTGTGTGTGCGTGTATGTGTTGGCCTACATAGGCCTATAATTTAAATATATGCCACATACGAGTACATGTATGTGTATAAGCTTTAATCACTGCAGACTTAATAGTAACGATGTTTATGTAAAGTCTGTATATAGTTGGATATAGCATTGTTTTCTGTATAGTTAGCACGTTTACGTCATGGTGTCACCCCCATCCTCTTGTAATACTTGTCGATTTGTACTTAAAATACTATTTAACTTTAATTAATCATTAATGGATCAGGAAAAAAGTCATTTTTCTTCTGTACATTTTGCAATTTTTTGCCTTGGTGTCACCCCCCTAAATGGTGTCACCCGGTGCGGTCCGCACCCCCCGCCCCGCCCTCGCTACGCTATGACTTACATGAATAGACATGTAGAATGTGTATATGGTGTGTACACGGATAGTTGATCCACGAGATGTAGCCTACATTATTAGTGTATGTAAATGTATATAGCTGATTCACTAGAAGTATAATGTGCATATAGTGTCTACACGTATAGTTGATTCCCTTGATGCACATTGTAAGTATAGTGTATGTTCGGCAATCAAGTGAGCTTTAGATCTTATGGTGACCAATTAATGTACTGGTGTGAAAGATGATTGGGTGAGATACTGTCAAGGGTTGTTTTTTTTCCCCACGTTTTCTTTAACTTGCTTTCGCGTCTGTTGGTTTGTTTGTTTGTTTGTCCTTCCATCAAATCTTGCGATCGAAATTTCGGGCACTTACCAGTTAGCTAGCGCGCTGAAATTTTCAGGGAAGCTTTGTTTCCGATGACAATACAATATTCAATTATTATTATTACTAAATTGATCCATGGAAAAATTTTATTGATCATTTTAGACTCCCATTGATTTGTACAAAAAGGGACATAACCTAGTAATTGTAATTTGATAAAAACAAGGTTCGGTACTTTCCCTCTTCTGGCTTACTGAAAAACAAATGAAAAATCATGAAGGAGCAAGCACGCGATTAGCTGAGTAGTGGTCACGCGGTGTTTGTGTACAAACCTATGCAAATCTGACTGACCCGGAAGTAGAATGTTGATGATCGAATGGTTTGCACGCGAGGGCAAAATGGTGAAAGAAACGGCAACACAGAAGAGACGTCGATTGAAAAGGCACGCCAGAAGTATCAGGAGAAGCGCAATGCAGGATACAGATTGGAAAATCCTCCTAAACGACCAAAAATTATGGAAGAAGGTGAGTATCAAAAGAAGCTTGAAAAAGATCGAAACCGAAAATCTGCTGCTTTAGCGATGGAGACAGAAGAACAAAGTGTCTCTTGTAAAGCAAAAGGTACAGTGCGTCATGCTACTGCTCGTGCGATTGAGACAGAACAAGAAATGACCTCACGTCTTGCTAAGCAGAAAGAACGAACTGATGCTGCACTTGCGATTGAGACAGAACAAGAAAGGGTCTCTCGTCTTGCTAAGCCGAAAGTTTTCTACTTTTTAGTTCAATCAGAAAACGTGGGTTTTTAAAAAAAAATTTTAATGATAATTATTGTCTATTTGTTTTAGACATGTTGGGATTTTAGGTTTAGTTCTGGTTGTTAGTTTTACTTTTCCACTATATGATTGTGTAACAATATACAGGCAGAATAACCGATTAAATTAGGCAAAGCTGCATACAGTGAGTTCAAGAATATTAGAACTAGCGAATCCCATCCCAGTGTATCCGTCTAGCACTTTCATAGACGTGAGTAAACAAGCACGAACACTCATACACACAAACACGATCCTAAACATTTGCGTATGTGCACGTGTTTATGTATTTGGGTGTGTAGTTTTAATATTTAATTATCACTATATTGCTCTGTAAAAGATATGATTTTAACATTCAGTATTAATGTTAATTATTGATCATGTAAAACTTTTTTAGGGCAAAGGGAAAAAAACTCATATACTTTGTTAACATATTAAAAACAAACACAATACTAGTTAAATAAGAAATTAAACTCATTATTTATTATATCAATTAATGTAAAATTTATAATATTTGTATAAAACTTTCCTAATTGTTGAATTTTAAGAAGATTTAGTTATTATCTGGCTCTAATTAAAGTTTGAAAACCAATAGCCATATTGTATACCTAATTTGAAGAGACAAGAAATAAACTAACATTTTATTCGAAGTACAGATCAGATTTTTCGTACTAAAAAATTGTTAAACCAAAGTCCCCCCCCCCCCCTCTCCCCCCCCCCCAAGCCCAACACACCCATGGAGTAAAATCCCTTGAATCATCAATTAATTACACATTTGCATTTTCAGGTTTTAATTAATTTTTTTTAAAAATATTAAGACGTTTTGTATTAGATCTATGTATAAGTAAACCATCTTAATAGGCTACTACAAGTAAGAAAGAAATATTACTATTGAAAATCTGTATCAGTCCTCACAAGCCGATGATGAAAACTAATACAAACTGACGCTGTAAATTACATGTCTGAGGCGGAAAAAAAAAACAAAAAACAATTGTTAACTAAAAAATATAGTAATTTGACGTTTTGAATTACGAAAAGCAAACCATTTTAGTTGAAAGTACATGTCAATTAGAAGTATTACTATTGTAAAATTGTATCAATCCTCACAAGCCGATGATGAAAACTGCAATAATAAAGGGCAGAGGCGCAGCGACCGTTACCGGCCACCCGGGGACAAACTTTCGATTTACACCCCCTCAAACTTTCAGTTTGCATCCCCCCTCATACTTTCAATTTGTTTTTCCAACCCATTTTGACGCCCCCTAAGGTCGGTGCCCCTGCGAAGCGAACATGTCAATGTAAACTGATGCTATAAGGAACATGCCTGAGGCAAAGAAAAAATACAAACAAATTAATAAAACCCTGTAGTTGGTGGCACATACTCTAGCAGGACAGAGAACTCTGGAGAGCTGTAGTGGGCTACCCATACATACTCCAGCAGGACAGAGAACTATTAAATCTTCTTAAAAACTATCCTCATATACAGACAACAAAGGCAAGATTATATACGGTGGTTGATTTTGTAGAGCTAAGTATCTTTAATGACTTTGATTCCCAATGATACAGATGGATCAGGGGCGAAGCGAGGGGGGGGGGGGGGGGCGGG